AAATTCTCATACTCAGTACTAAACTTGGTGATGGTGGCTGAGTCTTAATGACGTGTTTCACTACCTCAATCTTGGCGGTTTCAGTAGTGTTGTGAGTGACCGTCCGCCTATAGCCTGATTTGACAGTGTACATGACATTATACCCTCGCGTTGCTCATGCCCCGGCCAAGCCCACCGGTACATCTGTACCGACAAAATAATTCAGTTTCTGGCCGTTTGATCACACTCTGGCATACGTCACCTCTTTATTTGTTGGCTCAATCACCTACATTCCAAGCGATAAGCAGGAACACACATTTTACTTTATACGTTTCCGCAACTCAAGAAATTTTCTGCCCCTCTGTTCCATCTTCCCGAAAGTAAACATGCATCCTTTTCGTCGAAGCTTGTTAGTATAGCTGTCATCTGTTGTTCTAGGTGTTCAGTTTCTCTCTTCAATAAATCTTCCTTTTGCACCTTCACGGCCATTGCTGTCATGCCTTTCAGCAGTTGGGAAATGTTTGTTGATGATCCCATATTCATCGGCTAGCCGAGTTTACAAGCTACAACCGCTGATTAGTTGTAACTGACGTGCTCTGTACAGACTGCGTTGCCAGTAATTGTGCTCCTGACTCCTCAAGCAGTTCCGCAACACCAACAACTTCTAATCTGCCCCTCGGTAACCACCCACTTCATAAAACCCTTGAAGTCTTCAGCTTCAAATGCTGCTACCGAGGTTTCTTCAGACGGATGGTAGGCAGAGACACTAATGAAGAGAATTTCAATAGAGCAACAGATTGTGTTTATATTGAGGTAAACAACTGATCAAGGGAAAAATACTAGGCTTTACAATATGGTTCCCATCTGAAAATGATCTCTTCTCCTGTTTCTCAGTTCATTTTATTCTAACTATTTATACTTCCATATAATGCTGTGTATCTTCTGCGCCAAAATTCTCACCAGCCTATCGTTATCATTTTCTGACGTTAATATATACATAGTACTCATATATGTCAAAAGAAAAGATGTCTCACGAACAGTCAACCGATTGCTTCGTCGTTTTGGAATCAGAGTAGCAAACATACTAAAGAAATCACTACACAGTATCTTTTGCAAACCAAAGGATCCATTGCAAAATGAAGACAGGACAAACAAAATCAGTTGCAAAAAAAAATGTTCACAGCATTATGTTGACCAATCTAGCCGTCCGATCGCTCAGAGAATTCATGAACATTAACTCACAGTAAAGAGACTTGACATGGCCTCCTTGGTTTCAATGCATGCAGATAATCTCAATCATAAATTTGACTGATAGAATGTGGAAATTCTCCAAAGAGCAGGTTCGAAGGCTGCAAGTGAATTTCTAGAAGCATAACATTCAAATGAAATGTGGATATAGACCCAATCCACAATCTACTTAGGAAAAAAGCAGTCATTCATCAACCAAATGCAAATTGACCTGATAGATGAATAATGATGCACAGTGTGACAACGATAAACAGCTATCGTGTCCCAGTGGCTTAGTAGATAACGCTCTGGCTTTTGAAGTGATGAGTGCTGGGTTCAAACATCAGTGGGAACAATATCATTGAACTGAGTGCAGAAACATCCAGCTGACGAGTCCCAAATAGGACAAAATGTGCGTCCTGGATTCCACTACTAGTCATCATGATGAAATACTCAGACTTTCCAAGATAACTGAATGACTGAAAAATTTTATGTGTCAATCTTTTATCGATTCACTAATCTGAATATGTAGCAACAGACTCACGCCACAGAAACAGACATCTTCAAATTCACTCATTCCACCACATATCAATCCATTAGACGACAAGAGAACATCCCTTACCAAACCGGTACAAATTAACATTGGTCGTCTCCCCTTTCCATAAACCCACTATTCATCAGTTCAATCAACGCATTCACAGTTTGCTGTGTTTGCATTACAACTGAGTTACTGAGTTGAAATCTAACTGTTTGTGTCTTTTAACTAAGAGGAACTTGTGGTAAGAACGACTTTAACTTTAGTACTTCCTAGAATCCATCTATTTTTCCATCACACACTTGAATGACTCCACACATCACTAGTTAGAGGAAAAAAGTCAACGGCTTCACCTATTTCTGAGCTCGTTTCACAGGATTGTCTTTAATTTGAAGGCAGTTCGGTAGAGGTGGCAGTCTAAGATTTAAAGTGTACAACAACTACTCACCATTTGAGAATAGCTCATCCATTGCCTTTGAATTTCAGTATTTCCATGAGTAATATCACCGTGTTGCTGATTGGACAACCTCAAAATAGCCTTTGCAGATGTCCTAAGCATTTAAGCCGGCCGATTCACTTGTAACATTGACCTTGAGCGTGATTGGTGTCGCACAATTTGCCCAGTCCAGTATACTCAACCCACCTATACAATAAGTCATGCAATCCTACCCTCCTAATTTTTTATAACAGAACACAAAATGTGGTGCTTAATGTTCGTATCTGTTTTGGTGGTCTGATTCATCTGTATAAATATGTACCTAATTTCCTGACCACAACGCCCCATAATTTGTAAGGATGAAATGATTTCAGTTTCAACCACAACGATGAATTTCTCGCTACGTACAGTGATTATTTTCGAATCATAAGTGAGACATAAGCAAATAAAGGGTCAGTCGAATGCTATACAGTAATGTTACCAATCAGGTCACAAATAAAATGATTTTCAAAATCGGTAAAACAATACGATTAATGACACTTATCTGAGGAGATTCATGTTTTCCACTATTTTAGTTGATATAACTCCTAGCTCCCATGACTAGTATTAGTTTAAGGTGGAGGAGTGACTGAGGCTGGAATCAGCATATTTCGTGAAAGAATCCGAGCCAATTACGTCATATGAACGTATACTACCTTATCAGGACAAAACTGACAATGTGTTCATCAATTTCTCACTCAAAACCTACAATCACTGTGACTTTTTTAAAATATTTGCACCTTAACTTGTGATTGTGGTGGAAATTTTATTGGTTGCGATGCTACTTAGGCTTTTCTTTGATAGACTTTTCAATATTAGTCTCCACATTGCACTCAGTATTGTTTTACAAGAAGGACTTGACTCTAAGGCAAGATGGAACGTTAATCATTCTCATGTTGCGTAGTCCATCCTATGCATGTAATAAGCATAATATCTGGAGTGGTTGACTGAATGTTTCCAGTTTGGATAAGTATTCAGCCAAGCGCATTTCATAAAAACTATACACTTGGTTTTCGACTCTTTAACGCTTCATGTAGATGTACTACTTCATGGTTTTCACCGTGTTCATTCTCCCATGCAAAAAAATACTTTTTGTCAGCCTTCATTAAGCTGGTCGATTGATCGGCAGCTAACCTCCTTTTTAACCATGCTGACTCATATAATTTTCGGCTTATGTGTTTAGTTTTAGGAAGGATCTTGACCGTATATCTGCGAAATATAGAGTCACATTCCAATCCTCATATATTCACTGAATAATCGATTTATAGTCAGATTTTCTTCTCTACATAATTCAGTCATCCATCAAACCTGGTGCAATTTCCGAGTCACTTTAAAGGCCATCGTAGCCACTGTTGAGATAACCAATCACTTTGCTTTATTTTATAAAAATTTACCTTTCTAGCGGGAATACGGAAACCTGATTGGCTACTTCAGCAGTTGCCAGCGCGCCCTTTAAAGTGTCTGCAATTTCCTAATGGATTACTTTAAACAGCGCTGAATTTGAGTTTTCGTCTTTCTTTCCTTAAATCTACTTTCATAATATTAAGGATACATTAAGCGTTTTATTGGTTCATCTTTCAATGGGAATGCAAACAAACAGAAACTAGTGTTAACAATTTTTAAATTCATTTTAGTATGTTTATATATTTGGGCCAGCTGACGTATGAATGTGTTAAGGAAGTGTTTATCAATCAAACCCCGATATCCATCGTCATCACAACAGAAAAACAATTTTCTTTCTGTCTTGCTAAATGAACGCCGAATACAAGTTAGATATCTGCAAGTGTATAAATTACACACTTAACTGGTGTGATTTGTCTGTATGTCCTGTAGTGGTGTGTACACACATGCATAATATGCAAAGTACTTTCCTGAAAAAAAATAGCTGGCCAGTTAGAATTGCCGCTTTAAAGCATTTTTATTCGTCTAAAAAGAGAGAATCGATAGGCATACATTGACGCACAATGTAAGTGTGTTCAGTGTGTGTAGACACGTGCGTGATGTGATGATATAGTCATCATTTTTAAAATAGCCGTCAGCTCATACCAAATAGGCTGATTAATAAGTGTATGTATGTCTATTCCATCTTACCTGTCTATCTTTCATTTCATTGAGTGGTGGAAGTTGGTAATCTAATTTGAATATCTATCTAAACAAGTGCAGAGCTCTGTGTATATGTGCGATACGTCTACGTATATGCGTTGTATCCAATATATATGTCTCTAGACCGCAGAAACAAACCTACATTAAAAGGTTCATCAGAGAGATAGATAGACAAACATATCATAATCTCGTATTGGAAGAGCTCTTCTATCAGTTCCGCTGCTTTATTTGTCTCCTTCAATATGCATGCGTAAGAGCTGGGAGCGTAACTAGTGCTCTACGCTGTCTTTAATCAATATGATATACTGACCTATTACTGCGAACCACATAACTGAAATCACTACTTTGTTCAATTCGAACGTAGTCATTTCCATTTGATAAGGCAATACGATTGTGAACACCCACCCCTACAACTGTTGATTACTAAGAGCACGTGTTCATACGGGTAGACAACGTAAATATATCTGCATACATACACAAAAGTGTGAATAATCAAGTTTATAGACATTAAGATTTCTATTTCCCAAGATATATACGTCGTATAGTCAAGGAGTTAATTTTTACTTTCGACTGCGTATTTTTAAATCAGAAGTTCGAGTTTGTGAGTTATAGACGAAAGAATTTAAATTGTTCGCTTAGATTAAAAACTGTTTCTGGTAATTTAATTTCCAAAAAACTCACATGCCAACATCGACATACATTTATACTAAAACATCACATTCACAACAACAGCAAACACAGTCACAAGAGGAGGCAATGAAAATGCGTTCATCGAATTCAATCGATCAAAATCGAACTGAATCGATGAAAGATTTAACAGATACTGTTGATCAAAATGGTCTTAGGGAATTTCTGTCAACGGAATCAGTTCAATCTTCGAATAATGGCGGTCATTCAAAGTCAACTAATATCAATAATAATAATAATAATAATAATACATCACTGAGTAGTATAAATGATATAACAATGAAACTGGAGCAGAATACAAACAATACTAATAGTAATAATAGTAGTGGAAACAATAATCAATTTTCTAAAACTCAAAAAGTCAACTACACTACACATAATCATCAATATCAAAATAGTAATGGTGGCGTTGAGAAAATGTCAAGAACCAATTTGTACATAAAAGGATTACCGGAGAATTTTGATGATGAACAATTATGGCAATTGCCACCAGATCAAACAAAAATTAAATCAGTTAAAGCGGCTACTGATGAAGATACAAAGTGCCGAGGTAAGTCGTTGTACAATTAAATTTTCCATATTATTCACTAGTCAGATACCAATCTAATACGTTAATTTTCTCTACTGAGTGTTAAACAGATTGATTGTGTTCAGTGGTGTATAACTGATCAGTCAGTTACAGTAACACATAATGGTATTTTTTAATCCCCGGCTGATTTAGTCGACGCTATTCACAACTGCCGTCTAATGAAATCCTGTTCAAATGGGTTATTAAAAAACTCTTTCTTCATATAAAGTAAAGTATAGCGAAAGAGAATGAACCAGCTATTGACATACATAGGTTTCATACTATTCTAAAGCTCATCAGCAGTGTTTACATTATCACCCTCGTAACCCCCATTATGATTTATTATATTCTGAATAGTTCTGATTATTGTTAAGCATATTATTAAGGGTATGAGATACTCAGAACTATTTTCTGTCTTACTGTTCATTCACATTAGAATGTGTTGAAATGACAGTTCAAAGCACTCACCGCCATCCATTCACCTGTTGACTATGACTCATCAGTGTAGATGGCTAACCTTTTTCAACGCACTTCCATCTCAATGGATAGAATACCTTTTACAATCAATATTTAGCTGCTTGAGTTACTGAACACCCTATGACCAGCTAGAAAAGACAGAGGTGATGTCACTACCTTGTATTAGAATGTACTAGTTCATCTCAACCTCTTGTCTCAATGGTTGACAGATTCTGTAACTCAAAAGGTCAATAATGTACTAAGCTAGCTCTCAGAATGATGATGATGATGATACTGACAATAATAATTCTTCTAGGCTGATAAACAAACAACTGAACCCTTCAGCAGACGAAATATTTCCATTATCCAATCTAAAAACTTAAAATGATCATAGTTCAAAAGTTTCTACTCCACCCGTTCCCGCTCTGTTGTTCATGTCATTACCAGACTTCCTGTTATCATCATAAGTTGATCTTGTTATGAGTTGTATTTAGGTGCTAGTACTGAAATCAGATTATGGAGTCTACCATGAAAATATTAGCAGCTGTAACTTAATGACAGATGGTACTTCCACTGCGTATGAAATCAAGCACATATCACTTGAAATCTTTAGGCATTATCTTCCAAACTAGTTAGTTTCAGTAGCTAATTCCTATTTGATATTGGAATTTTCTATCTGAATCTGTCCAGATTATGTTAGGTCAAATTGTTCAATCTCTGTTGTCATGTTCACTCAACAGAACTAGGTTTTCATCCCGGATAAATAGGCCAAGGATAGGTTCCGTTCATAGTGGCTTTCATCACTGTTTGAACTCAACCTATGAATCATCGAGGACCTGGAAGCACCGGATATCTACTTCCACCTAGTTTAAGACTTCTCAACCGTGAGTACTGACGATCTTGTGAGTAGTCAACCCCAGGACCATCATTTCTCACGGCATGGCAATTATTAACAACTGGATTTTGCTACATTGGCTGAAGGAAGACTTGCTTGAAACGGGGCGATAATTATCTCTCATCCAGTCGTTCGTGTGCACAGTTGATAAGACCTGAACTAGGACGAAACAGCTCTCCTTTGGTTCATAAAACCTAGGATGATTTATGGTGAAAACCACCTTGAAAATAAGCATGTCTTTAACCAAGTGAAGAATGGTGACTGCACCTCTTGGTCAGATTTCTTTACTGAATAATTGAAAAAATAAGCAAAGCTTCCCCAGGTGAGTATTACCACTAAACAACGTTTAAGAAGGGTGAGATTCTTTGAGGGAATTTGAAAATTCAGTGCAGATACTTTCCATTGTTGCTGTACTAATGTCTGATGACGCCCAGACTTCTAACATTTAACTACTTATTAGCAGTATTAGAATCCTGACTGAAATAACGAAATAATAGAAGCATAAGGTTGACCTCTGTTGTCAGATTGGCTGCTCTGAGGCCCCCTCGATACTGCTGGACACTGACAAGGTATTGTCTTAGTAATTAGCAGTAGAATCCAGGCTGTATGTTTCGTCCTACTTAGGACTGGTCGGTTGGTCGTACGTGCACTCCAGTGGGACTCGAATCAAGCGCCCACTACTCCAGACATCAAAGCGTTATCCACTAGGCCACTGAGGCATAAACACATTGATAATCATAAGTCGTTTATTTACAAATTCAATACTAACTTGTGTAACTTATGCAAAAAAAGCCAATCAAATTTGCAATTAGCTTTAAATGACTTATTTTCAGTCTCGTCATTATCTTGCTTTTTTCATCACAATCTCATATCACATTGACGATCAGAGGAAATCAGACAGCACTGACGCAGTCAGTTTATCTCTGCAGCCATGAACGTGGAAATGATCTGATCCAGGATTATTAATTCGTAAAATTAATTCTTTACCGATTTGTCAGTCAACTGGAATCAGATCACGTATGTTTCTGAACCTAAGTAAATACATACCTATGTATATAAGATCCTGATGCTCTGATGCTCAGCATGTAAAGTCCACAAAAATACATGAAGTTACTAAGGGATGTAAAATGACTATTTTTATTACATTAATTTACAACGCACTGTATTATTTTTTGTAGATATATAGCTTCCTGTTGTGATATTACTAATATTAGTTATTAGTAGTATCGGAAAACTTAATTTCTTCAATCTTCATGTATATATACATATATTGCACTTGACGTAATGAGCATGTGATGCAAATTTAATGGTCAATATTGATTGACATTGAAAGATAATTGAAATGTGCATATATATATTATACGCATACGTATGCACACACACACACACATATACATATATATACAAACTGACAGTTATATATATATGCTGGCACATATGTTTACTTTTCATGGTTAATGAATTAGAAAAACTGAAGTGAATTAGCAGAAGTAACAATGTCTATAGTATTTGTACTTGTATGTGAAAAGGAAATTTCCCAAGTGTAATTTATGCTTATGTTTCGTTTGAACGTGTTATAGTGTTACTCGATTCACACTCCTTCTGGTTTGTATCGTTATTAGCTGTATATAGGGATGGATGAAGATCAACGAGTGTTTATCGCATGAAAAATGCTTTAATAACTAGTGTTCTGTGCTCAGTCATCCCCTCACTGAATCCCTTACTCACCCACTCAACTGTAGTAATTTGTAAATCTTTTTAAACACGAAGCAGGAAGCTATATGATAGGAACACATACAAATAAGTGGAAGGGGAATTAAGCTAAACAAAACATAAGCATTTCTGATATTAATGAGGGATAGTAGTTAGTACAGGAATCGAAAATGCGCCCATTCGTTCTATTTAGGACTCATCTCCCAGTGGCTCTTTGCATAACATTTTGGGTTTTGAAGCGACAGGTACTGAGTTCTAGTCTTAGTTGGAACAACATCACTCACGAGGAGGCAATAACATCCAACTGACCAGTCTCAAATAGGACGAAACGTGCGTCTTGGGTACCACTGTTAGTTTTTCCCATCCAATTCCACAGTTGCAGTTTTATATCATTATGTGGAATGTGCTTTTTCTTGTCTTCTTCTATTTAAGCAACACATAAGTTCATTGAAACAGTTTCTGGAAGATTTGTCCATTTGATGTGAGCCATTCTCACTGATTAATAACTTCGTCGGAAAGAAACATTTTTCTTCGCTGAAACCACATCTTGTCTTTTCCTATAATTAATACCAGTTGAAGAATTTCCAAAGACCATGATAGCCTGGAAAATAATTTTCGTCTAGTTCAGAATAGTTTAGTGGAAATAGGATTTCCAGCCTGTTCAATTCATTATGAGAATCTTGTATTTTCTAATCCATGGCACACATAAAAAACTATATAAGCACATTTCCCTGGTCTGAAATTCGGATAATAATTGCCTTAATCCATGGGAAAAGCTGAGCAAAATATAGCATTTAGTCACAGTCGACAACTTTCAAAATATGCTGATCAAATAATGGGGCGACTTCCAATGCCCCTCTAACAACTGCCGAAACAACCAATCAGGTTGCGCTATTTTGTTTGGGAAGACAATTTTTCATAGAATAGAGAAACGTTATTGGTTGTTCCATTCATTGCTGGGGCGGCCTTCAAAGTCGTTCCAAATAATGAGTTTACTAGTCAGTTGACTATCATTTCGATAATGCCTCCTTTATCCCGCCTTCAGTGGAATTGATTTCTTTCCATGTGGCAAGTGGTCTCAGTTTAACTGCAATTTTCGCTGAGTCAAATGCCCCTGTCTCCTGATTGTTTATTGTGTTCCTTGAGAGAGAGAGAGAGAGAGAGAGAGAGAGAGAGAGAGAGAGAGAGTCAGTTTTGGCACATATAACTGAGGATATGACAGTATCACCCACCAGTTACTGGTTTACAACAGCTGAATCTGAAAAAGTCACTGTCTTGGATTGCTCTGATGGACACTGTCAAGTATGTAACCACGATTCGGTGCAAAAGATCAGTATATTCAAAGATACCAACTGAACATGTTGTGTATGGAGAACGAAGAAAACACCACCAGTCTAGGTTTGATTTATTGTGCGTACACACCTTGCTGGCCTCTTTGAAACCTATTTTGTAGCTAACCCGCCAGATTGGCCTGAATACTACATCTCCTGAACCGATCACTGAAAATCCTATTGGTATGACCTGGTTAACTAGTTTACTAGTTACTAGCCGGTCCTAAGCCCGGGTAAAGAGGGAAGGTTGGGCATAGGGCTAGCAACCCTACCCCGTAAAACAAATCTAACCGCTAAAGAAACTTCAAAGCACAAACAAAATATAAAAAATGAAAACAAACTTATACCCCGCTGGAATCGGAGAGGCGAAATGACGCCAGTTGGTGAAAGCCTTCGGGAAGCCAATTGGCCGATGTTTCTTCTCTCGATGAAAGCGAAAGTAAACGTGGGGACATGGAATGTCCGCACGATGTTTGAACCCAGTAAGGCAGCCCAGATTGCAAAGGAGATGAGAAGGTATCACATCGAAGTGCTTGGGATTTGCGAAAGCAGATGGAATGGGAGTGGACTCTCCAAACTGTCAACGG